TGTGTTTGGATAGAGTGAGTAATGTTTGATACTGAGCCCCACACACATTTACACAGAACCACCCAAGTAACCAGACTGGCCTTACATCAAGTCTGAGCAAATCACTCCCGTCCTACTGAAAAATTCCTGGACATAATTTAGATTTCAGTCACGCTTCACAGATGCCAGTAGCGTGTTCCTATGAAACCATGTCCTAGTAATCACTCTTACTAGGACAGCTGTCTCAGGTGTAGCTAGTGAGGGCAGAATGAGTCATGCTGTTACCTATTCAAAGATATGAGAGTAATGTGTGGTGTTGTAGGTAGAAAAGTATGATTCCAATGCCGTGCGTTGTGTCTTTCTTTTTTGCATTAAAGAATTTATTTAAGGAGTTCTCTCGGCTGTGATATGTTTGTCTCAAAAGTTTAATACAAAGAAATTATTCCTAAATCCTGTCCTGTTGCCTGTTGTTTGTGCCATTTCAATGTTTTGTTCTCCATGTGTTTTCCAGGGTTTACTGAGATAGTTCAGAAAAAAATGACAATGTGCAGCTTGGAATTGCATACAAAAATGTTTTATTGGCATAGTTCCAAATATGGATCAGTTCTAAGAAAACCACAATGGACTGGGAATCCATGTTTTCCTTGCAATTCTTGCCCTTGCCTTGATGCAGGCACAGAAAGAATCACAGACAATGTCTTTGTTAGAGAAGTTTACAGAACCGGCAGAAGAGGATTCTTTCCTTTTCTTTGCCTGTGGGATTGATTTAGCCCAATACTCACATTTTAATTTGCTTGGGTAATCTTACTTCTCGTTGCCAAACTATCAGGTGATGCTGAATTTGGGAATAAATATAATTGAGCATTGATGGCACAAGTATAGAGGTTATAGAGATTATCACACATGGGGAAACTGCCCAGTGTTGGAAGCGATATCTTTTGTCACGTAGAGTTAAGGTTTATCTTTTCCTTTTGAAGGCAGAGCAGATTTTTCAGGTGTTAATTTCTAAATCATACCCTGTGATTCAAATTAATACATTTAATTAACTAGACTGTTTCTGCTAACCCCATGCAAGTTGTTTTTCTGTTGTAATCTAGCCGATTGTAAAAAGACAGTATTGGCAGTCATGTGATATTTGGTTAGACATTGAACCCAGTATTTTTGAATTTCCGGCCCTTTATTGCAGAATCACCTGGTTTTCTGTTGGGTAGGAGCCTTAAACTACTAAATTTCCTTAAGGCCTTTAATAGCATTATACTCTAAATACCGCTTGCAATAATATTTGTGTTGATATTTTTTAAAGACTATGGACGTAGTATGGTAGACACTTTAGGAAATATTGGAGGTTGTCCAATGGGGAAGACACAATAGATAGAAAAGATATACTGTAGGTGAGCAACTAAGAAATGGAGTTTTGAACAAAAGTACGGAAAGAGGTCAAACCCTAATCTCACCCACCTCCGCCTGCCTGCGGATTACTCTCACGCATCTTGCGTTTCGTTTTCTCGTCCCTCCCTCCCCCTCATCTTCGCCCTCCAATTTACTCCAATAAATTTCATGAATGGAATCATACTTCTTCTCTGCCTTAATTGTGGCTCAGCCAGCTACTGAAATAGAGTAGTACAAGCCACAGGCAAGGCAAAAAATTAGAATAAAGTGAGTGAATAGATAACTCAGGGGCCGGAGTGGTGGCACTGTGGCTAAGGATCTGCGCCTGTGACTGGAAGGTTGCTGGTTCATATCCCGCGGCCAGCAGAGGAATCCTACTCCATTGGGCCCCTGAGCAAGGCCCTTAACCTCAGCTGCTCCAGGGGTGGTGCATGAATGTCTGACCCTGCGCTCTGACCCCAAGCTTCTCTCTTCCTGTCTGTCTGCCTGTGTGTCTCATGGAGAGCAAGCTGGGGTATGTGGAAAGACAAATTCCTCATGCAAGAAATTGTATATGGCCAATGAAGTGATCTTATCTTATCAAATTCTTTTACTTCTGTGCATTACGTTGCAATGAATCAACTGCAAACTGAAGTGACTACAAAACTTCAGACTGCCAAGTTGGGACATAGATCTGATCAGCTGGTCGGATAATAGGATGATGTCTTTCTAAGTAGTTTTATGTTTAAAAATATGATGGCCCTTTAACTGAAGCAAAACCGATCTGTTCTGTGCTCAGGTCTTGAATCTTGAGTTAAACTAGCCATTGATTTTCTACATAAAATAAGCTGAAGTTTATCTTTGCCTGGATTGCTGGGACGCCTGAAATATTCCTTATCAGTGGAAGCGCTGTAGTTCAAGATTGCAGACTCCCCTACAAGCCAACGAGTGCTGTTGTTAAAAGTTTTGGCACCTGTGGTTTTGAAGAAACATGCTAAAGACAAATGTGTGACATCTCAGACTTGTAATTAGATCAAATAATGATACAGATAGAATTTTGTCGGTAGTTATTGTTATTTTAATTACATGTTTGCTGATTACCATTTTATTAAGACAGTTTGGAAGGAATGTCACAGAGTAAGAGTGACCCCGGGCTGTGGTTCTCACTATACTGTTTCTGTTTGTCTTTGTTTTCCATATCTTTAGGTTTAAAGAAAATAGAAACTGGTAATTATGTTGACGGTCTGCACATCCTTAGCTACAGTCTCTATCATTCTTGTATAAGCAGTTTGCTTTTGTTTAAGTTTCCCGTGTAACAGAAGAGGTACTTGTTTCTCAGCGGAGGTCTCCAAAAGTGTTTGGTCACTTGTGAATTAAAAATTTCTGAATGGTGGGAAAAATGTAGCCCAGTATTGCGATGGCAGAAAAAACAGACCAGCTCCGCGGAACAAAAGTAAAAAATAATAATTATAGTTTATGTCATGAAGTTCGTCGTCAACATCATCGTTATCATCACCGTCTTTATAGTGTCAGGTATCACTGTTCTTCGGTTCAAATACACATTCCAGCTACCAATGGACAAAACCCATAATCATTAAAGAATGTGCATCATCTTCTCAGAATATAAAATTTCAGTTCTTAAAGTTTGAATATGTTTTGGTGTCATTGTCAGAAAACAATTAGATTTGCTGTATAGACATTGTACTGAATGTTTTAGTACACCTCAAACAGACAGACTTTCAGATATCATAAACGGGGGCCTTGCATCTGATAATGTTGACATTATACAAGCACGGGTAGACATTGTAATTGACATTGGACACTTGAGAAGGCTTATGACTGGCTTGAGTGGCAATTTTTATTATCAGTTCTCAATCACATGGGCTTGGCCTCAGGATTCATTAATGTTTGGATTTTGTGTACCAGCCCTTCAGCAATGGTATGAACTGGCAGCCCCTTCTCTTTTTAATTCACTAGGCACTCGTTAGGTTTTTCACCTCAGGTTTGCCTCATCTTAAACTCCATCAGTCTACTTCTGCCCTTAAATCTCAGAAATCATTCTCCTATTCATTCTCCTGTTCTCCAAAATCTGCATTTAAGATGAAGAAATTTCATAGTATAACATAAAGTAAATATCCAAAAATCCTAAAAAGATGCTCTAACTCTTCACAGAGTTTACATGATTCCTCATAGACACTATCTTGTGCAGATCTGGGCAAAGTTGTACACAATTTTTGTACTGTAGTATTGTTTTCAAACAGATTTTTCTGCATTCCTCTCTTTTCTAAGCAGCCTCAGCCTCTAGAAGCAGCAGAAACAGTAAAGGTTGTGCATCTGCATTCCTTCCCTGCTGTCCACAATAGATCCTGTCATCACTTGGCATAATTTATATGGGTCAGACGTCTATAGCAACTTCTTCTTCACTTGATACTGTGCTCAGAACAGTAACTGTGAGGGGGGAGGGGGGGCAGGGAAAAGTTTCCCAATATAATATATATAATACTGTGGAGTGACAAGGCTTTTAAATTCCATTTTAGTTTGCTGCCTCCTTAAGCTGACTGGAAGCAGCTGCATGCAGGGAGTCATACAGGGAGTCATATGGTCTTCCTGTTATTGCAGTTGTTCTTTTTCTCATTTGGGGTCTGATCCTTTCACATCCTTGCTGGAAGTGGGGGCCTGACGCACGACATTCGAGCTTGCTGCTCTGTCGCAGGGGCCGTGTCGAGCCCGTTGCCCTGCTGTCCCGTCCTGTGAGGAAGGCTCCGACAGAGGCTGCACCGTGGGCGGCTTCTGCTGCTCCTGTGCCAGCTGCGCTGCTCGCCAGTGTTTCCCTGTGAGAGGCACTCCTCCTCCTCCTCGGAGCGAAACACTCTGCTCTCTGTTGTCCTGTGCAGGCGCCCGGAGTGTGGGAGGGAATGGCATTTCCTCCAGCTTGGGTTACAGCTCGGGCCAGGGGCTGCAGTGAGCACGCCGGCTGAGGCAGTGGTTCCCCATCACCTCTGACTTCAATTTTCATAGACCCAGGCTGAATCGCTGCTGCCTTAGCTGCAGTTATTATAGGCGTTGGTTGACTCCAAGACCATATCTACTCCAAGACTAGTTATCTAACATTTGTTTTCGAGACTTTTTTAAAAGCCTCGTAATTGTTGTGTAATTTTCAACATAAAGGGTCCCTAATATTGTTCTTATACCCCCCTATAAGACAGTTATTTGGAAGCTTAAGAACTTGAAGCCTCTAACATTCAGAGCTGTAAGTGACCGTCCTAGTCTTTGGGCCCAATGTGGAGAGTGTTCCATTTTTACAGCGCATTTGAAAGCATCAATCAGACGAGTGTGTACGAGTGTGACTGTGAAGAAATTAAAAGGCTGAGACTTGCTCTTTGTTTTTGGTGTTTTTTTGTTTGTTGTGTTTTTGTGACCTACAAAGTAGGATATTTTTGTATCGGTGGATGGCTCCAAATATCAGTTTTCTCTTGTTTATCTCTTCTTTTCTTAAAATTATACATAATTGTAAGTGTAATGAGAGCCCTTCTCATTCAGCAGAAACTAATTTTGGTTAATTATGGGCCTGTATGCCAGTCCAGCCTGGGTTTTCACATGGTAGACAGTGTGTAAATGAAAAATGAAGTGTCTCATTGCCTTGTGTCTTTCAGGGAATCTTTTGCAGCATTTGTGGCAGCCGGTGGAAGTCTTGTCAGCACTATCCTTGTTCAGAAATTCATTCCTAAACATACTAAAAACCAGGCTGGAGTGCAGAGTCTCACTGACAGTAAGGTCCTTATAACTGCGGTTATGTACATTGACTTACAAACAAGCTGTTTTCCTAGTACACAAATTGTGTTTAAGATCAACTGAGGCTTTGTTAATAAGAAACTAAAGTGTTTTACCAATGCATACAGCTGTTCTTGAGCTCACACACTATCTCTACTCATTATGAGAAACATGTTTATTCCTGGTAATGGATGTGGCACCTCAGAGCATCTCAGAAGTACAGGGACTCGAGGCTGGATTACACCTTGAATGCTGGAGCAGTCCAGTGCAGGACACACCCAAAATTTAAGACATCAACGATCTTAACCATCTTCTCATCAGAAGAAAATGGAGTGCCCAAAGAAAACCCACATGGGCTCAGAGGAAACAGGCAAATTCCACACAGAAAGAGCCTTGGTCTGGACCTGAACCTGGAACCCACAGCACTGTGCTGGCCACACCATTTCCAAATAGTGCAAACACTTTGTGGAAAACATTCATCTGCTCTGCATAAAATATCCATCCAGACGTATAACAATGTTTAGACTGAAAACACAAACCTTTTCTTGCATGAAAGATGCGCCAGATTTTCTGTACGTCTGTAAACCTATGACTTTTATTCCAGGCAGTGATTAAAAAACACAAAGGTTAGTAATCAGTTTTACCCTGATAAACACTTCTTCATTGCAGACAGGCGACCCAGAATGCATTCTGGAGCAGATTGTAAACAGTTTCTGGTTTTCTGTATAGCTCTACATCCTTGGCTCCATCCTCTCTTTGTGTCTTTTCTTGTCATGGTCTTTCTCTTATTTGGGAAAAAAATATTCTTTGCTGTCATGAATATTATTTTTTTTCTCTGCAGTGGTTGAATATTCAGGCAAAGCCATCATTATGTCATGTATGAAAGCGATAAGCCTTGTTGTTAAAATGAACAACAGCTGTGGTGTAAAATATGTTTTACAGTAATTTAATATTTTAAAGCCTTTCGGGTGAACTAGTTCAATGAGAGGGACAGAATACAGTTGTGCATTTTGTGGGGAATCTGTGCAGTGAAATGAAGACTTATTTAGTACAGCCCCTGGCAGTTGTTTGTGCTCTTCACATAAATGATGGCTGTTGATAATATCTGCTCCACAACATGAAATGCAGATTCCTGTAACAAAGACGCAATTGAGTAGCCTTGTTGCCACCAGCTTATTTTAAGTTGTTCTATTTCTTCCTACAGTGTCCGCCTCGTGGTTATTGTCTGCCACAGTTATACAAAATGTAATAACCATTTCAATAAATCAAACAGTGTCTCTAATGTGAGGTGATGTTTAGGACATATACTGGCTCAAGCTAATTTGAAATTAAAAATGGAAATGTTACACCAGTAAGCTGACACCAGTTGAATCTTAAAAATATTAACATGGATATGAATGTATTACTTTCACCAAGAATCAACATGGCCATGATATCATATGAATATTATATTATGTCCATTGTAAAAAGATGTTAGGGCACTTTGTTTTTCTTCATGAAAGGAGCTTGTTATACATGGTGCTATATTAAAGTCTTGCATTTTATTTCTAATTTTACTTTGGTAAAAAATTGCCCAAAGGCAAAAAACAGACAGAAAAACAAACTATAATAATCCCTTTTGAAATCTCACTTTTTGAAAGTCTGTTATCTCCTTGGGTTAACTGAATTGAGCTTTTATTTTCTAGTCACTTACCACAAACCCACCAAACTGCAGTCTGTACCAAGCACAGAATTGTGAACTGTCTGCGATTGAATGTTGATAAGTGTTGTTGAAACATTAAGATCGGTTTCACTTCCGTTGTTGTTGTTTATAATACACAAACCTTGTTGGTGTCGCTCTAGAGAAGGCTGGGACTGGCTCAGTGTTTAACCTGAGTGAAATCACACGGCTCATGAAATTCCCTGGAGTCCGCAAAACCTTTGCAGTCAAGATCATATCAGGAGTGCCCCAAGGTGAGAAAGAACCAGTAATGCTCTTTTTGTAGAGCATTTATGATATATTCTTCAGGGTCTTCAAATCAGATTGATTTTTGTGTATAGTTTTGATTAGTCATAATTTGCAAATGTTTTTTTTTCCCACAAACATTTAAAATGACTAGTTATTTTTCATGTAAAAAGAACTTGGAAATTTCTACCATCCACTTGTTCCAATCTCGTTAAGAAATTCTGCGTTTTGGCAGAACCTTTTTCTGCATTTACTATTTCCTGGATCGTTGGCTGCCTGATTATTTAATACTGATATCTATTTCTACACACTGAATCTTTAAAATGCATCTAAGAAAAATGGCAAAGGGTTTCAGTTCTGTAGAGCAAGGAGGCCAAAATTGTCTGTGACTAAATCATCGCATACAGTATATCAATCTCACATCGCTTGAATCTCAAACCACAAGATGTGCTCTGCAATCATAGGTTTGAGGTCACTTACCAGTCTTCAACTTAAAAATTGCCATTCTTAAGACCTAAAATATTAACACAAACATGTACAAAACAAATACAGGTACTGGTCTGTCGCCAGCAATACCACTGAAATTGACACACATGTGAGCTTCAACTTTCAACTACAAATCTTCCTTTTTTTCCTGTTAATCTTTCAAGGAAGGAATGAATTACTGCTTTGGAAAGACTAAAAAGTTTCATTCTTGTTTTTATTTCCAGATAGCATCCTTCATGGTAGACATGATGTTGGCATACTGTGCTTAGAATAGCTCTTTCATTGTAAATAATGAAAACACGAACTTCAGAGCTCCACACTGCTTTCACCTCCCTCACTGTACTGAAGCAAACTCTTGGACTTCATTCTCAGTGCAAAGAATGGACCCTTGAGCTCCAAGTAACAGGAAATTCTTAAGACATGACTATTTCCTCAGTGAGGATGCGGTTTCACTCCATCTGATGTTTTGATTTCTTGAAAGATTTGTAAAGGAATGCAAATAAGGATGAAGAAAAAAAGTTGGAAACATTTTCTGGAATCTAAGATTGTTATTTCTGTATTTCACAATTCTCCAAGGTGAAATCAGCAGGATTAAAATTATACCATACACCTGTGTTATACTGTACATAAAGATTCAGAGCTGTGAACAAGGCTGTGAATGTTTTCGTTTTAATGAAGTATTTTAACTCTCTTTATCTTGTCTTTATCATTTAATGGAGATAAAATTATGTCTAAATAACATATTATCTTTTAAAATGACATCCTGACTAAGTGGCCCACTGACTGTTTTTGAATAACAGCAGCATAAGAAAGAAAAGAACAAATACGTCTGAATAACACAGTGGGACACAGCAGCATTAACGAATGCTGGGTACAATCAGTATGTTTAAATATAAGTTTTTAATCTCACTGCAAACAGCCTCAGACTCAAAGGTGGGCAGTTTCAGCTTCCTCTGCAGATTGAGAATGCAGGATTGGCTTGCTTGGCAGTGACGAGCTACTGCATGACTTCCAGCCGCAGATGGGGATTGCCTGCTGTATATCCGATAAACGATGAAGGATAATGCAGCAGCTGGAATATTTTTCATTATCTTTCCAGTCTGCTTCCTGATCTCTTGCTTAAGATCGATTTCCTGGAGAGGCCACATTTTCCAAAATTAGCTAAGGGCCAGACAGGCCCAAACTATTTGTATGAAGGTGTGAATATTTACCAGTATAATACAAATTCTTCTGGACTGTGGTGGAGGGAATGTCCCTTGTTGTGTGTCTGGTGTTCAATCACTCATCCCCCTCTCTCCATGTGCAGGTGTCTTTCAGGTGATGTTCTCCATCATCGCCATGGACTTCTTCCAGCTGCAGGCTGAGCAGACTGGCTACCTCATGGCCTATTTTGGGGTCGTTCAGATGGTAAGAAGGGTTTCATCTCCGCTCGTTCTTACTGGAAGGGGTTTCATTTCAGTCCTCCAGCTGTAGAAAGAAAACAGTAATGACTCAATAGTTCTGGCTTTTCCTGCTCTTGTTAGCATGTCTAGTAATGTTCAATCATGAGAACTCCATTTTGAATGTAATACCTGGCATGGCGATATGATTGTTAAGATTGGGGTCTCAGAATGAGAGAGTTAAGAATTAACCTGATGTACTATTTGCTTGGTGGGTTTTACAAATAATGATATGTGGTAGCAGATGTTGGAAAATGTGCTGTGCTGAAAGTTTGTAAATTTATAGAGGTGAGTGAAATGAAGGGTTAACATTTTCCTTTAATGTAAGAACTTGGCAATCTGATTTTCTTTTGCATGGTCGGTAGTTCTAAGTACCTCTCATGTACCTCTCAAAGACATTTTCACATGCATAAAGAATAAAGACCAGGTAATAATTAATCCAAGTTATAGCTTTTGTTAATTAAGCAATAAAACGAATATTGGGTGTAACAGATTGGTAACACGGAAGTGATGAAAAGCTAGCTCTCAAAGTGCTGAGAATGCATTGAGCAATCTATTAATTAAAAATGATCTCAGTCCATTTAGAAATCCATGTGTGATTGATGTAAAAATTCATGTTCACTGTTTTATTCCTGACGCGAAGGCTGCTTTGTTCCTTGAGAGAAAGATTTTTCATTCTTTATAAGAACCATTGTTATAAGGGAAGATTTTTGTTTAAATTATAGGAATTAGACAACGTAGAAATGTCCCACAAGACTATCTAAATTACATAGTCAAACTTTCTGTAATTTAGTGAAAATAATCCAGGTTCCCAGCATTTATGGAATAGTACATACTGTTCAGGTTTGTGGTTCTGTGTGCTGTTGATACAGTTTGCTTGGAGTTATCCCTAACTGAAACATACCATTTCCATCCACAGTGAAAGTTATTTTACTCCTGGGCTCAGGAACAATTCTGCACACAAAATCACTGTAGCTTCTGTGGCCTTGCATTCACGCCTGTAATTAGCTTCAGAGCTCAGTAAAACGAGCAATAAATCAAGGCACTCTTAAAAGGAATTCTCCTACATTAGTATGTTCTTGGTTGTGTTTTGTGCTGTATAATTTTGAGGGATTATGAAACTCAAATTTGGAATATTTTCATTTTTCTCTGTTACTATGTATTGTTTTGGCCTTAATCACAACATACACAAAGAGGAATGTAGAGGTTGTTGTGTTGTGAAGGCTTCCATATTTCTGAGAAAAAAATCATAATCTTGTTTGGAATTTTCTTGTCTTGAAGAAGGTTTCTTAATCTTAACAACCTTTCCGATAAATTCTTCACTCAGAAGACACTGAACTTTACCAAACTTTCCAACTTCTGCTTTATTCCTTAGTCATAAGCCCAGAAAACACAAAAGATTCCCTTTACTCTGGCTGTCATCACCTTAATCCAGTTTTCTGGAAACTCTGAATTACAGATTAAAATGGTTTTATGTTTGTATTTTCCTGTAATGTATATCTGTACATCACACACAACCCAGTTTTTAATTGCATTTACATATATTGTCCATCCGTCCATTTTTTGACTTCTTCTTCCAATTCAGGGTCGTGAGGGAGCCAGAGTCTGGCTCAGGTCAGGGCAGTAGGCACAGGTCAGGGTACACCCTGGATGGGACGCCAGTCCAGAACAGGATGGACACACAGTCACTCCTAGGGCTAAATTCTCAGAAGACAATTAACCTACAGTACGAGTATGTTTTTGAACTGTGGGAGAAAAGAGTTTGTGAACACAGGGAGGATGTACAAACTACAGACAGATAGCACTCCAGGTCTGGAATTGACCCCAGGTTCCCAGTGCTGTAAGGCAGCAATCCTAACCACGTTGCCTCACATATATTTACATGAAGTAAAATACAATTTGTAAGTGTGCTTTAAAAGTTAAGTACCCCCTTATGTAAATGGAGTTATCTTGATCTCTGGCTGGGAGTATAGTGGTTTACCAATATTAGTGTGATTTACAGTTGGCCCCACAAGAGAACATGACCTCGTGATAAGAAAAGTTAGAACCTGGCTTCTCCAATTTTCAGTCAAAACACCTCACTGACAAAAATATCTTATCACATGACTCAGTGAGTAGGCAGGCTGGAGGAGTTTAGACAGACTGACCATCGGTCACTTCTCCCACCTCCTTTCTTCAGTGATTTATGAAAGTGAACATGACGCATCTACAGTAGTAAACAATTCCAGTGCACAGTAAGCAGTGGGTCGCTCATGGTAAACAGTCTTGAAAGAGAAACATAAATTCAGAAAGGTAGGCATACGTCTGCAGACACAATCCGAAGCGGTAATAAGGACAGTTTAATGACCTAAATCGAAAGATAAGAAAACCCCAAATGTTGTACATAAGCAGTTGGAGTACTGGATAGGTCCCAGCTGTTGTATCCATGAGCATGGTACTTCTCTCAGATTGCTTTAGTAAAAATTCCCATATCAATCAGTCTGAATGGAAATTGCTTTGGATAATAGGGTCAACCTAACAAAATGAAAATGTTTGGAACTTACGGGTTAGAAGTCTGAGATCTTATACACTTTACACACCATGGCTCTATTAAATATTTGTACCTTTGGTTTTCAGGTTCTTTTTGTACAGTACTTTGGAAAATAAGAGTGTTGATAAAACCATGCAGTGAGAACTGTAGATACTGCAAGTTTGCACAAATGGAAACTAGGAAATTCTTTACATTGTGTAGTTGGAAGGACAGAAAAACTGACCAACAGATGATGATGGATGTAATGACTGGAACCTGTCTATTGAAATTGTTCCCACTCTTGATCAGTCTCCAGGCTGATTAATCCTCTCATTGCAGCTCTGAGGTACTACAGCGGTGTCCTTGATTGACCAGTATTGCCTAGTAGTGTGTTGCAGACCTCTGCAGTCTTAAATGAAGTCACCTCTCACATCAATCTGTGGAGAGCGGGTTTCCATGGGGAGAATGTGGCCTTTTCTTTTTCTAGCCAGCGCAGTATGACAGTAAAGATTCATCTATTCGTGTCCTGAAGGGGAGATAGTGTTGGGAATAGTGTTCTTAAGGAATTAGAGTTTAACACAACAGTCAATACACCTAGGGATTTTGTGTTTTATTATTTTCAAAGCTTCCTAGACTGCTGCTTTCATTTTAAGTTAGCCTCAAGGACAGATGGAAAGCTACAGAGAAGACACCAGCAGCTCACTTTATCTGGCCTTAAATTAAGCATTTGTATGTACATATACATTTGTATTCTCTATGCTGTTGGCCAAATTCGTCAGTAAATATCTCATTACTTATGTCCCACATGAACCTGCTTTTTCCCCTGCTGTCTGCTGTTCTGACAGTGTGGTAAAAATAACCTCTGAAATAGAGTGGGGAGAGGTGTTATGATGCAAAGCCTGTGTAACTCCAACCTGCTTCTTTTCCATTTCCTTATTTACTCAAACTCACACTGCAGGAGTCGCAGGTGATCTATTTAGCTGCAAATACTATAGACCCAGCAAAACAGAACACACACAGGCAGATGAGAAACAAGTTTCATCTCTTGTCTTCTTTGTGGTACACTATGTATTCTGGTTTTGTTTTTTTATTTTGTTGTAGTTCTAGTTGCAATCAAGATTAAATCCTTTAAGGTTTTTCTCTAAGCAGCATTGGTTTTGGTCCTTCATTATTATTCAGTATTAAGGTCTAATAATACTGTACGATGGTAAAACCAGAGTAATCAGTGGATTGAAGATACTGGAACCAAATGGAACCAAATCTTTTTTAGCCTGGAACAAAAGTGATGCGGATATTCAACGTCCCAAAAGACACTGACCAAGTCAATCCAGGGGACTTCTTCAAGATCAACAACATAAAAAGACCCCAAATACAAATCAGTGCTCCTAATCTGGAAATTACGATTAGGACCATTCAGAAAATGCATTTTCACTTTACACAGAGAGCTGACGTGGTTTTATCCTGTAAGATTTGTGTTGATATGATTCTTGGATCATTAAACTACTGACAGTTAAATATTTAAATTTGACAAGTGACCAAGTCTAGTTTGCTTGTATTGCACTGACGTATGGAGATGTATGACAGCCCCAGCCTGAAGAAGGAAATCCTAAACCTACATCAAAATAATAAATAACAGGGAAAGGGTTTTATCATTTGACCCAAGATTTTACTTTCAAGAACAAAAAATACACATTACGTCAATAATAATTGAATCCCATAAGCTCTGCAGAAAAAGACAAAAGCAGAGAGGTCCCCTTGGCAAGCTTGCAGAGACTGTTTTACAGTTTAGGAACTTAATCTGTTATTTTTTTTGTTTTGCTGAAAGTTGAGCCTTCATGATAGCATGAAAAGGGTGACAGGATACCCATTCTCTTCACACACCCACACAGCCCCCATGTCTCCGTTAACCCTGTTATGGTGTCAAGAGACAAGGCAGCTTCTCTTATTCTCACCAGCAGGGCTCTCGATGACGTCTTCCCACTTTTGAGACTGACACAGACATTTCCCTCTCTGACATCCCTTTATGAAGACTTCTGTAACAGCTGTGAAATATGATATGGCCTCCAAGCGAGTGATCAGAGTCTGGGACAGTCTGCAGAAGTCAGTGTAGGAAAGCTGCCTACAGGAGACCAGATTCATTTACAGTTAGTTGCTTTAAAATGTGGCTAAAGATGTTTCCCTAACATTCAGATTTTGCATGGACAATAAAAACAATAAACAGTGATTTATGAACTCCAATGTGATAATAATGAGTAAGAATGCAATTTTCAGTGAATAATTTTCGATTCCTTCCTTGGTTGACCTTCCTTTTCTACGGCTCCTGTGTTGGATAATACCCAAATGTATAAGCCAATTTATTTTTTTATTTTATTATTTTATTTATGTACAGCTGGATCCTGACATCTTCAAAATGAGCATTAGCAAATTCACTTATTCGCTGTCTGGTCTGGCTGATGGGG